ATGTGACTGGGTATATGAAGCCCCCTATGCTCGTTTAATTGGTGGGTACACATGATAAAAACCCGGGGGGGGGGGGGGTGTTTTGATCAAAGTCACGCAGCTAATTCAACTCAAAGTATTGAATTGAATTGAAAACCAAAAGAACAGGATGTTCTTGGTACGATTTGGGATGGGTTTGAAACGAAAGGACAAATCCTCACTTGGGGACAAGCTCAATCGGTTTCGAAAGTAGATTCACTACTCAAACAAGTATGAATGACTTGAAAGAGAAGTCTGCAAGTCTAGGACGAATCCAAGACCAAAATCAAGCTCGCAAGCTCAATGGGATAAACTCCTCGGAGTAATTTTTATTCAACAATTCTCTGACAATTATAACAAAAACTAGAGGGCTTTTATGGCTAAATAAAACCTAATACGATTCTAAACTAACAAGGAAACAATTAAGGTAAAAATATACTCTAAAAAGGACTCAAAATTCGGGTTTAGACTTCCTTTCTTGAAGCACAAGGAAGCTGCCAGAACAGTCAAAAAGCAGTTTTCGTACTAACTCACGCTTTTCGTTCGACGCCTTCTAGAAATCCGACCTTTCATCCGATTCCTTCCCTTGATAGATAAACATTCCTACTTTCATTTTGTAGAAGCATTTGGTCTCGAATCAGATCCATGCTCCTTGCATTGAGCTCCAAACTAGGCTTCTTGAACACAATTTCTGCCTTAACCAAATTCTGGCAGTTTTCCAGTTTTGAGGTAGCAACTTTGAGGCCTTGGAAAACAACCTTAATGACATCATCTGGATTCACAAAGCATACCATTGGAAAGATGGAAACTTCATCTACAAAATAAAGCCTTAAACTTGAATTTCCACCAAGCCAATTGAGAGAACCATGCCTCCAAAGTAGGTACCTTGAACATGGATTTTGACTTAGCCAAATTCTGCCCTTCTTCTTTCCAACTTCGATTGCTTCTTTTTCAAGTAATAAAAAAGTGTAGTGTTGGCCATTTGGGATCATATCAACACACCATGCCATTTTCATGGCATGAGTTTCTCACTAGGTGCCCGACATGGAGTGTTTACCATCCATGCCATCCAATCCAATAGGACCTACTTGTTGAAGATCTACATGGATGTTACATGATCAGTGCTAGTATCTCAAGGCCTATGACCAGTCTTATTGGGACATGGGGTGTCAGCCAGGTCAATAATAGTCGGCCACTGATGACTACATATTTACACATGTTTTACCCCTCATTTCTTGATTGTTTAGCTTGGTATTTATCCTACTTTGTCTATTTTATGCTAGATTGTGTTCTTTGTCACATTTCAGGTCCTAGCATGTAAACTGAAGCCTTGGCGCAAGTTTCAAGTCAATCAGAGATCAATTGGCGACTCGGGGGGAGAAACTCGGGAATGACTTGAGGAAGAATGGATTTCTACCTCATTTTATTGATAAAGAATCATGTAATCTTGTCATGAAAAGAAAGAGGACAAGACTATGAGCATCTGGTATCAAACGACACCTGAATCGGAGGTCAAACGAGGTCAAACGAGCTCAAGGAAGCTTAGGAGTGCATGTTGGAAATTGTGCACGGCCATGTAAAATTCTGCATGGCTGTGTGAGTTTTCCAGGGGGTTTGCACGGCCAAAACCCCAATTTTCACGGCCGTACAAGTAGGGGGTGCGAATCTCAGTAGGTATAAAAGCGGTTTTACGATTTTTGGAGAGAGGGAGCTGGGTTTTGGATCCCAAACACCCAAGGGACGAACCAAAGAGAGAGAGAGAGAGAGAGGGCGATCTAGAGCTATTCTTGGAGCTATTTTGGAGGATTCTTCACCATTGAAGCTCAAGAAACAAGTCTAGATATGAAGATTGAAGATCTGGAAAGTTATACTGCAATCTCTCTCTTCTCTATGGAGTAACTTCCCTTCACTTAGGTTTTGAGGAACCCTAGTTCCATGTGTTAGGATCTTTTTTGTTTGAAACTTTGAATGTTATATTGTGTGATTATAATCGATTGAGACATGATTTATTGAGTCAATTGAATCCCGATCAAATTCTCTTGATTTCTGCTTTAACCTATGATAGATAGAATCTGATTAGGTTAAGAGAGCTTCCTTGATTGATAGTAGTGATTTTGTTGTGCGAGAGTCGGTCAATTCACTGCTTTGTACTGGAATTTATTCCATGTAGTAGAGATCTGTGTGAACCGCCTTAGCAGTCTATTCCGGTGAAGGCTAGTCGCCTGTCGGGTATTCTGTCTAAGAGGGCTTGGTCAACTTAAGAGACTCCAAGCTAATTTAGGGTCTTCCACAGTTTAATCAACAGTAAAACAACCAAAAGGAATTACAACTTGGACCTGATTGAGGAGCTAGGGGGAATCATACCTAAGTGAGTTCCCAACCTGTAATTAGTAGAGTAGTTTAGTAAATCAATCCTTAATCTAGTTTGCTAGATAATGAACTGAAGCTGAGTAATAGTAACTCTAGAGACCCGTGAATTCGATATTTATTACTTGTGCCACTATACTGCTATACTGCAGTCCCTTTCATTGGTTACACTTGGCCATTGTTAGGTGTTGTGTTGTAGCGTGTCAGCCACCATGATGGCCGGCATGTCAAGCCTATCATACCCTAATGCATGGCATGATACCCTTTTAATAAAATATGGCTTGAGTAGCTAGCCATGACATGGAAGGGAATTTGAGCTAGTTAAGTTTTATTTTATTTGTTGGGCCCTAACATTCTATAAAAGGTTACGGGTGCATGGCTTTATACTAAAGGCAAAATTTGGCTAAGGAAGGTGGGACAAGATAAGTGTTATTTTTAGGTGGCAAGTTGAGTTCAACAACTTAGTGCATAATACTTATACACTAAGTTGGGGGGGGGGGGCATTTGTTTCCAACTAAAAATTAATCTCATACCACATCAATTAATTGCAAGGGATTTAATGGATTTATAAGGCCAACTCAACATTAATCATTAAATGAGCTAGTTGTGTCTTATTAGGTTTTTGGGCCTAAGTGCCAAGCATCATATCCCTGGTATAGTGTTTGGCCGCCCCTATAGCCTTGACGATTCCTCCACCCCCTTGGTATGAAATTCGGCTCCCAAAAACTAAGTCTGGAAACAAAGCAACAAAACAGGGTGTCAAACGACACGGTACCAAGCCGAAGAAAGAGGCTTGGTAGGATGAGGGTACCAAGCAGTGCAAAATAGGCTTGGTAGGCAAGCATGCTAGGCCTCATGGATGGTAGACCACCTTGTGGAGATCCTACAAGCATGATGCCACCCCAAAGGGGTCAGTGTGCATCCATCATCTCCTCAAGCAACCGATCATGACGTTAAGCAAGGGTGATCAACATGAGTGCCACTAAGGCATTGTACGTGCAAGACAAACCACCAATCAAAATACCACCATGGCAAAAGGTGGCTACGTACCAATTAAAGTCATCAATCCATTAAGATACCAAGTGGCCAGCAGGCAAGCAAGGCGGTTAAGACATCAAGCACCAAGCAGGAGAGGCAGCGGTTACAAGAGGCAGTTACAAACGAAGACGAAGCAAGGGTTCCACCACCAACCATTTGACACACAATGTCAAAATTTATCCTTTCTCTGCAAATTAGCTTTACCTTTAGTTTTCGGAGCTCTCACTGAAACTCCATAGGAGTAGGAGTAATTGACATAGCTTGTTCCCATAAAAACATCAAACACCCTCGTTCGAACATTGTTCGAAGAGGAGTGAACCGTGTTGATTTTCGTTGTTCAAGAAGTCAAGGTGCATTTCATTAATTTCAAACACCAGATTTTCCTCGCCGGAAAATAAATTGGCACACCTAGTGGGACGATTGTTCGTGTTAATATCGTTGTTCAAGAAGTCAAAGGTGCACTGATTGAGATCAAACAAAAGAGATTTTCCTCGCCGGAAAACACCTGGTTCTTTAGAATAGGAAATAATGGAGAGATGGAGAACAGAGCCAGGGATCCCTCACCTCTCCCATTTTCCGGAGATACTTGTCAGATCTGCTACTTCGCCGGTGGTCTTGAAGGATGTTTCGGCGAGGACGACGGTGGTGGGAAACCCAGCAAGGTTGATTAGTGGGAAGGAGAACCCGACTCTACACGAATTGATCCCACTAGTTAGTGGTCGTGTGGTGGGCGGAGTCTGTGAACAAGATCTTCCCCTTCAGCAAAATCACCTCCGTGCATCGAACCACCATCTTGTTACCTTTCGCGCCGACGAAGATGACGGTGGGTTTGCCGGCGATGTGGGTCTTGAACATGGAGGCGGCGCCCTGCCATTTCGCTCGCTGTGGGAGGATCTATGGACTAAAGACACTTTTAATGTGCTACTTCTCATACGAACTAAAGACACTTTTAATGTCCACATTTTTAAAACATACAGACTGTCAATACCAAAGGTTGAAAAGCACACTAAAGCATAGTTGTCATGTTGTTGGAATATCAATCAGTTCGACCTAGCATAACCAGTGTCGGTCATGAAGCCAGTTGGAAAACCACATGTATGCCCGACATGATCAATTCTAAACAAAATAATTTCATTTTGGTGAATTTAGTTAACAAAAAATTAATATGTGATTTATTTTATGAATTTGAAAGTTAAATGTTGATGGTATTTGTTGGATTCATATATAAAACGTTTAACTCATATAAAAAATATAAACGTTTGGATGTTGATGTTAAATATTGTATTTTAAACATGAGTATTTGTTATTTTGGTTGGTATATTGTATATTATTTAAATATGAATATAATTGGTAAGTAGTGTCTTCAACAATATTTTATATATGTTTCAAATAATTTAATAAATATGAATTTTCATATTTTTATATATTTTATTAAATTGGGTTGAAAGATTTGTACGCCGATCAAATCATACCACTTGTTAAATCAGCACAACGGTACAAATCGGTTCGACTACCTTGCAAAATTTTAATTTTAATTTTGTGAAAAAACTTATTAATCTAAAGTATTTTCGGTTTTCCAATCTTCGAATTCGGCCATATTTTGTCCAACCCTCTCGCCTGAGAGAAACAAAACCAGAAGGAAAAAGAATAACAACCCCGGCTTCGTATCAGAGATCCCAGGGAAAAGAGAGAAGACCGAGAGAGCGGGAAAGGAACCAGAAATGGCGATGGCGAGGGCAAGCTCTGGCCTCGCGTATCCGGAGCGATTCTATGCAGCCGCGGCGTACGCTGGATTCGATGGATCTCCCAATTCAACCGCTGTTGTCACCTCCAAGTTCCAGAGCGACACTGCTTTACTCCTCTACGCCTTGAACCAGCAGGTACGCGCCGAAATCCTCGATTCCCCAATGTCCGATTTGCTATATCCCTCGACCAATTTTAGCTGCCGCCGATCTCTGTTTTCATTTCAATTCCTGCCCCCTGCACATGTCTGTGGTGCAATGCGCGGTTCTTTCGCAGTTTCAGCTGAGGTTTTTGGATATGGTTATTGTTGCGAATCTTAGCCTGCTTGAATGTGGAGTACAGTAGATCTGGTATAGGAATTGAGATTGGAGGAATGCAAAATTTTTTACCGGTTTGCCGCCAGTTCTAAAACGATATAAACCGTTGGTTTTTCCGAATGAACCTATTCGAAATTGGAGTGTCAGATCTGATATTATGCATGAGGCTGGGAGTGATCAATTTTGAACTGTGAGTTTGAGAATGAGGGATTCAAGCTCAATTGTTGCATCTAAAGTTGCACATTGAACCCTCAATTGTCTTGCTTATGGATGAATCTCTTAATGCTTGAACTGCTTGCCAGTATATACGGGATTCAGAGATCTACTCCGAAACATGGGGTTCCTTCCTTTTTTCATTTTCCCCATTCAAGGGCCAATGCAACCTTGTTTGATCTTGCTGTTCACTATATGATACCAGGCGACAGTTGGACCATGCAACACTCCAAAACCTAGTGCGTGGAATGCTGTGGAGCTAAGCAAGTGGAAGAGGTAATTTAGATTTTAGCTTTTATCTTTCTCAGTCGTGTGTTTATGGTTCTGAAGCCTTCTGTTTGTGATGTATATGCCTGTTCATACGGAAACAGCTTCCTTTTTCATTTTCTCTTTGTGCATCTATTCCAAGAATCTGTTCCTTTGGTGCTCTGAGATCTTTCCTGATGCAATGGCCATTGTTTGGAGCATTAGTGACACCTTTTTGTTTGATGTTCTCGTGTTCTAAGGGATTTAAAATTATTGCAGTTGGCAGGGCCTTGGGAACATGGTTACTACCGAAGCAATGCGTCTCTTTGTGAAGATATTGGAGGTTTATACTTTATAGCAATTTGACTTTGCTAGTTATCACATCGTGAATGATTTACTGCTGCTAATCCTTACTTTCTGTTTTCAATTGGCTAGGAAGAAGATCCCGGTTGGTATTCTAGAGCATCTAACTTTGTTTCTGAGCCTGTTATAGATATGCCAGTGAGTGTAAGTACATGGATATTGTTAACTGTTGCTATTTCTTAGTCTATTATTGGTTATGTTTTCATTTTTGTCTTGGTAAGACTTAAATTTAGTGAACTCATTCATTCTGTTGATTTGTTTACTCACTGTTCTCAAATGTTCTATTGTAGCACAACTCCAAAGCTGAGCATGCTGTCGAGAATGGCAATGCTTTGCCAGAGACTAAGACTGTAGCTAGTGAGAATGGGAATGTAATGGAAACTCAGGACAAAGATGTCGTTTCCGAAGGGCTTGGTTCAATCCTTGTGTATGACCAATGGATTGCACCTCCAATAAATGGTCAACGCCCTAAAGCCCGATACGAGGTGCAAACTTGGGGCGTGTCCTCATGTTGGTTATTTGTTTCTCTGATATTTTGTTTCTAGGATCCCTCTAATGATATTCTTTTGGCCGGTAAAATTCTTCTGTTGCAGCATGGGGCAGCAGTTATCCAAGATAAGATGTATATATTTGGTGGAAACCATAATGGGCGTTACCTAAGCGATCTTCATGTAAGCAAAACTGTGCTCTTGGTAATGTTGCAATAGGCGAGGATCTTGTTGCCTCTTTTCGTATGTCGTTCTTTGCATCCAAATAGTGGAGCAAGTGGTGTGGGTGGGATTTTCCTTTTGCTGAATCTATTATTGAATATGATGCTCAAGTATCTGAACATTAACTTGTTCATGCTCATTTCTAGGTCATACTCGATTTTATCTGTAGTAGTACTCATGCATTTGCTTCTATAATAATACCCCCCCCCCCCCCCCCCCCCACCCACCCCACACACACACACACACACACACACACATGGATATAGTTACTTATGGATTTGCAATTCAGGTTTTGGATCTGAGAAGCTGGACTTGGTCAAAGGTCGAATCAAAAGTTGGAGCTGAACCTCCAGAGTCTGCTTCTCCGTCTATATTAGCACCTTGTGCTGGTCATTCTGTGGTTGGTTCATGCGTTTACTTTTTAATGGTTTATTATAAAAATAGAAGTGAAAAATATTGGAACGTAAACCAGGGATGACCTGCTGTAATGTTGAACTATCTTTTGTATTCTTCAGATACCATGGGAAAATAAGCTTATATCAATTGCTGGCCACACGAAGGATCCTTCTGAGACCATTCAGGGTCTGTAGCTCACGTTTGTATGGTTCAAATTCTCTTAAACCCATTTAATTTTAATAATTCTTCTTCTTCTAATGACAGTGAAAGGATTTGATTTAAAAACTGGTACCTGGTCAATGTTAAAGACTTATGGGAAGCCACCGGTATGTTCTTTGCTTGTGCTTGTCCTTCTTCTATATCTGCTGAGTTGAAAGTTTTGAATTAATTGGGATCCTGGATCTAGGTATCCCAGTATGAAAACTTTAACGACCAACTAGATGGCCCTTTGGTTATTTATTCAATTAATTTATGCGAGGAATGTGAACTTTGTCTATGTTCCTAACATGCAGGTCTCACGTGGGGGACAATCCGTCACCCTAGTTGGAACAAGCTTAGTGATCTTTGGTGGAGAAGATGCAAAAAGATCTTTGTTAAATGATCTTCATATTCTTGACCTTGAAACTATGACCTGGGATGAGATCGATGCTGCGTAAGCCTTCTTTATATGGGAAATATTATTTTTTTATAGTTCGAGTTGCCTTATTAGTATTGTTATTTTATGATCATCACGTTCATCCTTTGTTGTGGTTGGGGTACAAATGGTGTTTTGGATTTCATGTCCTTACGTTTAGGCAACTTCTTGCTAAATATAAACCTGTTGAAGAGATGGAAGGTTCACAGTTCTTGTTGGTGAAGAGATGGATTTTATCTCGCGTAATCTTTATCCATCTTTAGTGTTAGTAACATGTCTAGGCCGGATTTCTTAAGACACTACCCGGAGGTAGATGGTAATGTAGGGGGTTGAAGATATATCTGGAAACAGGTTTCTGCATTGTTCAACATCGAAATTTGATTTGTTTGCAGTGGGGTGCCTCCTTCTCCTAGATCTGATCATGCTGCTGCAGTACATGCGGAGCGTTACTTACTTATCTTTGGAGGGGGCTCGCATGCAACCTGCTTCAATGATCTTCACGTGCTTGATCTACAATCAGTGAGATAACTTGGCTAACTATCTTTTATTTATATTTTGTGCATAGAGTGTGCAGTAATTGATGTCTTATATTAATTAACGTGGTGATAGATGGAGTGGACAAGACCTACGCAACAAGGAGATATACCAACTCCACGGGCCGGACATGCAAGTGTGACAGTTGGAGAGAATTGGTTTATCGTTGGTGGGGGAGACAACAAAAGTGGTAGGTTTGTACAGCTTGAAGCATTCGAACCAGAACATCTTATCTATGTTTTACATAAGGCAAACATAAACGGATCAACAATCTGCTAAAAGATGGTAGTTTTTCTTAATGGGACCAGTATGGGACTAATCTAAAATTGAAGTTCCCAGTGGTTAGTTTGTTATAAATACTATAGATGTTGGCAGTTGATGTGATAAACTGTAGCATACATCCAGTTTAGAGTTTGGAGAATCAGATGGGGTCATATCCGCTATGTTGGGAAGGAAGGGAGAGGGGTTGCTGCTATTCAGTTGCACTAAGCCTTTAGTCATCCTGCCTAGTAAGGCAGGCGTCACCTATTTACCTGTTAGGAAATTGCCGATAGAAGCTGTTTTTTTAACCTTCCAAAATTATCTCAACCATGTATTTGTTGCTGGTGTGTAATTCTCCATTGTCTTTGGTTTGGCTCTTTGCAGGGGCATCTGAAACTGTTGTGCTAAACATGTCTACTCTTGTATGGTCTGTTGTTACATCTGTTCAAGGTCGCGTTCCTGTTGCCAGTGAGGTAAAGTTGGAAGTTTGTGTAGAAATAGAGCAACGAGTTGTTATTACTTTGAGTTCGATTTATGTTTCGAAGCGATAAAGTTGGAAGTTAAATTCTGTTGGTGAGGCCATTTTTAGATTTTAATAATTCATAGGGTCCACCATGATGAATAGTTCTTCTACACAGGTAGATGAAAGAAATGCATTCATTTTGGCTTTTAAGTCACAACTTAGTTTAGGTGACTTATTTTTGCTGGAACCTACTAGTGTTTCCATCACATACTTCTGTGAACTATGCCTGAACATTACCTATTGGCTAAAGTAGGAATATTTCTTGTCCTAACTTCCGCACTTGTGTCAGCCGGCACAAAGAAAGTGTTTCTGCATCTTAAACTGGCAATTTGATCACCCTCGGTTTCTAATTTGCTAATTTCTCCAGGGTTTGAGTTTGGTTGTGAGCTCGTGCAACGGCGAGGATATTCTATTGTCCTTTGGAGGATATAATGGTCGCTACAACAGTGAGGTTAATGGATTTATTTATTACTTCTTGATGTATTTCCTTATCTCCTTGTCTCCTTTTCACTCCCCTCAACAAGTCTTACCTTTCTGTTAGGTCAATGTCCTTAAACCAAGTCACAAATCAACCTTGCAATCGAAGATCATGGAGACTCCTGCGCCTGACAGTGTTTCCGCTGTGCACAATGCAACAAATGCAACAAGGGATTTGGAATCAGATTTTGAAGTCGGTCAAGATAGCAAAATCAGAGAAATCGTTGTGGATAATGGTGATCCAGAACCCTTGGTATGCAGAAATTATGAATCCAGTCTCCTTATTCATACTTAATCCGAGTAACCATAGATTTCAACTGAAGATCTCATACTGTTTTGTCGCAGAAATCTAGAGCCAATGGGAATAATGAAAATTTCTTAGTGACCTTGAAGGCGGAGAAAGAAGAATTGGAATCTTCTCTTACCAAGGAGAAGATGCAGACTGTTCAAATAAAACAAGAACTATCCGAAGCTGAAAATCGTAACACTGAGCTTTACAAGGTAAATCATATATCTTGTTTTGTACCCGTTACTTTACTTGCTGCCATCTTCTCGGGCTAACCTAGTCAGATGGACCTGAAACATTAAAATGTACTATTTTTTCTCTAAATTTTGCAGGAACTCCAATCTGTCCGTGGTCAACTTGCTTCCGAGCAGTCAAGGTGTTTTAAATTGGAGGTATATGCCTTCTTAGCCCCTGTTGTTCACTGATGACTAGAGGCAGGCTCTAGCCCCGAAAGTGTCTGCAAACCCTATTCACCGTAGCCATTGATACCAAGACTTTTATGTTGTTCTACTCCCTTTCAATGCTGAATCCAAATTTCATTTCCATTACAGGTAGATGTTGCTGAACTACGACAAAAGCTGCAGACGATGGAGGCGCTGCAGAAGGAGCTCGAGCTCCTGCAGCGCCAGAAGGCCGCCTCTGAACAAGCTATGAGTGCTAAGCAGCGACAGGGATCTGGAGGGGTGTGGGGTTGGCTTGCTGGTTCCCCCGGCCACCGAGATGAAGACGATTGATTCAAAAGAAGCCTGGAGGACCCAACTCTTGTCTAGTAAAAAACATACCTCAGTAGAGAGAAAGAATACTTTTGCCTAGATTTTTTCCCCTTCTTTCTGTGCCCTCCCCATTTGATCCAAATGTTGTCCAAAATTATATTTTTGGTTCTTCAGATATATGCCCCCCATTTGGCCATTTTCTTTTGGGTATCATATGAATAAGTCTTTTTTCAGGTCTTCAAAGTCCTCTACCGTATATGGGGGGAAATGTATGGATGAATATGTATTGCCTATTTAGTGTTCTTTTCTGTAACCTAAACAACATTGTTTGAGAGAAAGCATTGAGGTTTCAATTGTTTGCCAATAGGAATTTGTAATGAGATTTGCTTGAAAACTGCATTCTTTAGGGGTTGAATATTATTTAATTTCCCCGATCATTTTCTATTGCAAGTTTGGTTACTAGAATTACTAAAAAATTTCACGTTTGTCATTAAGATTATTTTATTCATTTCATGGTTACTTAAATTAGTTTAACAGTTCAAGTTTGATCATTGACCGTTAGTCTCTGTTAATTTTTACTGATGTGGCAGTTAACTCTCATATTTGATTGTTAAATAAGTGATGTGGCAGTTAAAAATAATAAAAATAATAATTAACAATTTCCACCTCATTATAAAAATAAATAATTTTTTATGTTTATTATAACATAAATAATTATGGAATTTATTTACTTTTTTTTTTATATATCCTGCATACAACAACAAAGCTATCGGAATTTTTTCTTCTTTTCCAAACCGATGCAATTAGTTTAAGTGTTTAACTAGGTGGCGATGTCGCGCCTGGTCGCGGGACGAAGATGGTCTATGTGCATGTATTATGTGGCCCGTTATGGTGTTTTGTTAGTATTATTAGTCTAAAATTAATTTTTTGTTAGTAGTTTTGTTAGTAATATGGACTTGACAATATGATGTTGACCGAGAAGATATATATGACGGTCAACATCCAATTTTAAAAAAATTGTAAATTTTGGCTAGTAAATGATATTTACCTAAACTCAAGTAGACCCATTGATTATAGGTAAGGTATGGGTGACATATATATGGGTTTGGAAGTTTGTAGATGGGTTTGGGTAGAGTTCGGATATTTACTTCCATAATCTAAATGTGTATGAGTTGGGTATGGATACTCATTTATTCGAGGGTGTTTTAATTACACATACAAAAATTAAACCTATTTGCAGAACTTTAAAAGTTTAGGTACAAAAATGTAATACAATTTTTTTTTTAAGATCACAGTAATTTACTTTTTTACAGAAAAATGAAAACTATTTATTTGATGTGTAGATACCTAGCCAAACATTCCATGTATAATTGTTGAAATTCTTGCACGGTTAAAAAGAAAAACTATAGAGAGAAGCAAAAGGAATACAAACTGTAACTCGCTCTCATAGTAGAAAATGACGACTTTCTAATATAACCATATATATATTTATTTTTTATTGGACTGGACATTGAGCTGAAAAATTTAGTGGTTCATGGTTCAATTATTAGTTCTCTAGACTGTTGGTGAGTCGTGTATGAACCCGTTTATACTTGTGATTAGTATACATAAAAATAGTATACTAATTAGGGTTAGACGAAGAAGGCAAAGAAAGAAATAAAAAAGGGTTATGGAAGGCGAGTGAAAAATGAAACGAAAATGAAGTAGATGATGGAAAGGTTTTGATCAATTCTTTTAGTTAAACGTCAATATAACAATCAGTCCCTTTCACCGTAGCAATTTATTGACACTTGCTTATGTAGATGTCGCATATTTTGTTACATGTAGCTAATATAAGTTTGTTTAGTATCCCTTAAATGTACTAAATGAGTTTATAAATTCGCTCTTTTAAAATGGTCAAATCATCTCCTACAGTTTGAGTGATACATCTTGTATTGTACAAACTAAATTTATACTTTATGTTATGGTTGATTGGATTCATGAATTCACGTGAAATATAAACATTGGACCAATATGTAAATTAAAAAAATTGTAGGTACAAAAATATCATAAAATTTAGAACCAAAACATAATTGTTCAATGATTTTACATTAAAATTAAATTTGGGGTATCAAAATGTAAAATATACATTATAGTGACTAAGTTGTGATTTAATTAAATTTTGGTACCAAAATGAAAAAAAATTAGGCAACAGTAACCAAGCTTCAGGTTTATATATATTAACTTTACGAAGAAAACTAACTCTCCACCTCCTCTCGTACTATCCTTCCTCGCGACGACTTCAGCGATGAAGATCATCATTATCGACGCAAGCTGATCGGTGAGATGGACTTCTTCGTCGAGAGAAATACCAGCAACGGCCTTGATCTCATGACTATTAACAAAGTCCCCAACGCCGGCGCCTACCGTGGATTGGAGTTGAAGGTTAATAATCGAGGAAGACGATTGCTTTCCCTTGGCCTATATATATATATGCTTCTGTGGGAGCGGCGATGCCGAGCAGGGACGCGATGGCCTATTTTTGTCGTTGTTCCCAGAACTATCAAAATTGAATATCCACCTTTTTCGAATTTTCGTCCTTATTCTCAAAACTCTAAACCCAGAATCATCTTCCCCGCACACCGATTTAGGGTTTTTGGAAATCTTTGTAAGCACGTCGACCACCACGACGGTGGCGATGGAGATGGTCGCAAGGAGAATGCAGGCGACGAGGATCCCTGTAGTCTCCCTCTCCTCTGCCCCTACTCCTCTGTCTTCGCGTCATCGTGAAATAGACTCCTCTGCCTCCGCGTCGTAGCCAGTTCTTTCTATCCCTCGAGTTGAATCGCCAACTCGATCGGATACTTCGTCGTCTCCAACGATATATTGGCGGTGCAGTGAATTAGGGGTTTCAAGAGGCTGAGGTGGCCGAGGAACGGAAGCGCCGACGGCAGGCTTGGAGGTAGTTTCCGGTGGAGGCTACCATGGCTGATGTCGAGGAAGAGGAAGAGCTCTCATGGCTGTTCCTAAAAATTATAATTAAATATTTTGTTTATTTTTTAATTTATTATGATAATGAGGTGGAATTTTTAAAGATTTTATTTTTTAATTGCCACGTCACTTAGTTGACCGCCACATCATTAAATTTAACGGAGACTAACGGTCAGTGACCAAACTTGAACCGTTGAACTAATCTTAATGACCAAGAATGGAATAAATTAATTTTAGTGGCAAACATGATATTTTTAAGTAATTCTAGTGACAAAATTTACAATTTAGGCAGTTTCTATCTTTCCATTTGCATATCAGGAAATGGTTTCATGAAGCCAGAACAACGTATTGGAGGTTAAAACGGTAATACGATTTCAATATGGTGGTTTGTCAGGGTAACCGTCAGCTGTAATAGAGGAAAAGGGCTTGGCCAAGTTGTAATACCACTAGTCTAGAACTTGGAGGTTCTAGGTCCGAATTCGTTAAATAATACATTAATCACAAAAAAACTAAAAGTCTATATCGCTCTTATAAGAAAAAATCTCATGTTCCTCTTCTAATCGAGGCTCTTTCTCGTTTAATTAGCTCGATTATTTTGTCAAAGATGTGATTGAACCAATCTGAATCTGAACACTACATCTACTAAATCAGTAACTCCAATCTCAAACCGAAAGAGATAAAGATTAAACTCTAAATTCTGGGCTTCATATAGAGAAAGAAATTTCATGAAGATTACCATCTACCATTGCCTTCGTAGTATATGCCGATAGGTTCTCCGCACACAGTAGGAATAGATACGGAGACAGCGAACTTCATACCGTAGAGTATGGCTGGATAAAAACGACAGAAATGATAACCATATGCTACCTTCAAAAAATTGTTATTGGTAATCCTTCATGTCGTTGAAATCTTCAAACTAACAAAAATTTTCCAATCTTTTTTTTTTTTGACAAAAGATAATCTTGTATTGATATAAAAAAATAGTTACATCCTGGAACACAGCCAGGCCTGATAATTAAAGCTACGATTCATGATCGGGTACAAAGAGAGGGCTTTCCGAGCCACCAAATGGGCTACCCTATTACTACGCCGACCTACAAATCGAACCCTCAAACCCGGGTGGGTGCGGAAATACTGCAAGACCTCCTCCAACACAGCCCCCACCCGATTGTCTCTAGCCTCCCCTTGGTTGATTTTATCAATGATCACCTTCGCATCCCCTTCAAATAAGATATTAGTGAAGCCATTTGCCAGACACCATGAGACCGCCTCCCTAAGGACCAGTAGCTCCACCGTCATCGGATCACCCAAAAGCGGGAAGTGGACGTCCTTGACTAAAAGGACCTCTCGATTAGGGGATAACAGAACAATTCCCCCAGCCGAATGTGACCCTGGCCGAATCGCCCCATCCCACATACAAATGACTCCCCCAGTTACGCCTAGCCCTCTGTCCTCCCCCATCTGGGCTGAGGACTGGAGAACCCTATCCCTCGGCAGACGCACCCATTCCTCATATTGCTGATAAAACTGACGCATCAAGGCAGGGGTCCCAAACTGTTTGCCTTCAAAGACGACCCAATTCCGTGAGCGCCAAATCCGCCACAGACTAGCAACCACTCCCATGAACCGCTGGGGCTGGTTAATCAAGCCCATCACCTTTTTAAGAAACAGAGGGAAAGTGTGCTGGGCCAAACCCTCCCCTACATACTCCAGCCCTGAGTAATCCCACAAAGCTCGCGCCACCGGGCAATCAAGGAACAAATGTTCCATCGTTTCCGGATTATCCCAGCAAACCGGACATCTAGGGAGCACCGGCACTCGCCTGCTGATAAGGGCCTCCGTAGTTGGTAAGATTCAATTAAGAATCTGCCAGACAAAGACTTTCAGCTTAGGAGGGATATGTGCATTCCACAACCGGATCCAACTCGCTTTATCCATCCAACTAACCGTGGCCTTCCAGCCATCTCTTCGCATATCTAACTTAACAGCTAGATGGTAAGCAGACTTGACCGAGAACAACCCATCCACCGTATCATGCCAAATTAATTTATCCGCCACATCCTGACGAGGAAGGGGAATCGATTTAATGGCTCGACAAGAGGGCGGATCAAACCACTGACTAAGCTTCTGGTCATCCCACCGCCCCTCTCCTTGGCATATAACGTCCGCCACGGGTGGATCACCACCCTCTGGAATGATCATCGGATTAAAAACCAGGGTGTCAAGTTGGAATTGGGGGACCCAGTTAGACTTCAGCAAAGACGCTGATTTCCCATTACCAATTTGCTACCTTAACCCCTTTTCTAATAACTGACGCCCAAACAGAATGCTTTGCCATCCCCAAGAGGGTCGTGAGCGGGCCGTAGCTTGCAAGAATGACCCATTTGGGAAGTACTTGCCTTTGTAAACCTGGGCGAGAAGGGAAGTCGGCTCATTAAGGATGCGCCAGCCAATCTTAGCTAGAAGGGCCTGATTAAATTGTTCAAAACGCCAAAAACCCATCCCA